GGCTGCTCTAGCCTGCCTGGGCTGGTGTTCTTGTCACTTACCAAATGTTCCCCAGTTTTGCTTCTCTAGTCCTCCCCTGCTGACACCCCCCTTTCACTCCATTCCCTTTCCTTTCTCTGTCACTATTTTACGAATCTCTTTTCCCTCAAGACCCAGAGCACCTAGAGATGCATCAAGCCTTCTACCCTCTACCACTTTGAAGCCCAAGCAAGAAGCTCAGAGCTGTTCCTTTCACTTCCTCCCCAAATGAAGGGGATAAAGAAAATCCTCAGGTCAGAACTGAACTAACCCAAGGCCAGTCCTTCAGCTGCCTCCATTCTCCTGGTGCATGACAAAGTATTACTTTGTCTCAGAGGACTGTGATACCTCAAGGTTTAATGATGAATCTCTGCCACACTCCATCTTCCCTCCTCTGTAGCCCCCACCAACTCTGACAGGGTCAGAGCTCTTCAGAGCATCTTTGCTAGGCGGTTGCCACGGAGACTGGAAATTGGTCCCAAGGACAGGCTGTGCTACCTACTGGGTGATGGGGAGGGAAGCTTCTGGCCACGTTCAGACCAACCATCATTAATGTTAATAGAGGAAATGCAGCAACGTCAAAAGCAAGGCAGGTTTGTTAATTAGATCTGGGGCCTGATGACCTCCCTTTCCCAGGGCTGCAGCCCTTTTGACTTCCCCCAGCAGGAAGCACTGCCGGGTGCTGAGTCTGGGCTGCTTGCTTAATTGCATTTCTGGAAGGGAAGGAGAACCTCCGCTCACTGCCTGCCCTCCTCCACCCCCCACAACCCCTTCCTACCCTTCCCCACCACAGGCCGAGTCAGTTTCTTCTGAGCTGGGTGGGGGCAGCCATCTAGGTGGGCTCTCCTGGAGGTGGGATGTTGGAACCTGTGCTTGGCTCTCAGCAAAGAACAGTGACCCACAATGACAAGCTGGAGGTGGCTGATGTTCCCTTGTGCCTTCTTATTTCCTAATGAGAACTTGTTGGAAGGGAGATGCTCAGAAGGAGCCAGAGGGGCAGCCGCTCTGAGTGAGGATGAAAGGAAGGAGAAAGCTCAGCCAGCTTCCTGCCCATCCCTCCCTCCTCACTGGCCACACCAGGGACAAAAGTTTCCTCTGTCTCTTCCACTGCTTCCCCAAGATGGGAGAAGAGCTGTGTGCCCACTCCCTCCTCTTCCTCCTTGCCCAGACTGGCAGACACTTCTCTGGGGACAAGGCCACATGGGTTGATGCAGCTCCAAGTACTCAGGTTCTGCTGTTGGATGATTCTGGGGAGGGGGCTGTCAAGCGGTGTCCAGCCCACTGGACAGAGTGTGACACGCCCTGCAAACTTGCTGGTGGAGAGTGAAGAGATTTGTTAGTCATTCCAACCTCCAGCCAGCTTCTTGAACCACATTTTATATATTAAAAAAAGTTTCCACGGATAATCAGAGGCCATTTACTTTTGTAATAAATAGCTCTTGTTTTGAATGCCATGTTGTTCTTGAACTTAATTGGATTTGACTTGCTCCCTGGCTCTCAGAAAGAGGAGAAGAATGTTTTGAGTGCAAGGACTGTTCCAGTGTGCTGGAGTCTGAAGCCATTCTAATTCCAGCAGAGGCCTGGGACTGGGCAGGTGAGCCTGACCACCCCAGGGGATGTTTGGGCCCTCTCGTGTATAAGGTTACTTACTTGAGTAATTTTGGTGGTTGTTTTGATTTATTTAAACTTATTCCAAAATAAGTATGAAGCTGGACCTTATTTTTTCTCTTTTAACCTGCCTGCACAAATATAGAAAGGAATGAGAGAGAGAGAATAGTTGTCTACTTCTGAGACAGCTCAGTGGCCCGGCATTGTAGCAACATCCATTCTGTTTACCAGAGGCCCTCATCTTGACAGGGGTCTTCTGGTATCTGGAGTCATGTTAAGGGTCGGAAGGGGTAAGAGCTGACTTGTGTTGGACAAGAGCTGAGGGAGAAGAGGAATCCACTGTGTTGTGAAACTGGGGGTCCTGGGCTGTCTGACTGCCCCTTCCCCTTAGGACCAAGAGTAGCTGGAGGCGGGGTGGGGAATGGGGGTGGGAGGTGTGTGAGGGGGTCCCTGCAGATCTTCAGGAGATGGAAAATGCTGACAATAGGCAGGCTAGAAAAGGACCAAATACTTCTTGTCTGGCACAGCTTAGGTTACCAAGTCCCCATGCACCTGTGACACTTTATCCTCATAAAGGCCAGTGAGGTCAATGCTGTTTTGTCCCCATTCTACCCATGAGAGATTAAATTACTTGCCTAAGGCGCCACGATTAGTGAACAGTGGAGCCAGGACTAGGTGCCAAGTTGGGCTTTTTCTGCTCCCTAGCCTAGTCCTGGGACGAGAAGCATCTGCCCAGGTCAACCTGGACCCCCTGGGAGAAGGCCTGGACTCAGCCCAGGGTGTCTAGATGGGCCTGTTGCTTTGTACATTCTGCCTAACGCACTGACAGCTTATCTAGGGCCTGGTGTTTTCTGCACACAGACCAGTGGTTTTCTGGGAGGAAAAAAAGTCCTGATTTGTAGCATTTGCCAATTTCCATGGAGCAGATACTCCACTGTGGCCTAATTCAGGCTACCAGCCTGTTGTCATTGAATGAGAAGCTCGGAAGATGCGCACAGTCAGCTCTCACAAGCCATCTAAGAGCTGGCTGCAACATGCCTTTGACACAGACCCAGTGCCTTGACTTGGTCTGAACTATGGACACAGCTCTTGGTCACAATCCATTAAAGTGAGGGAGGCAGTGGAGTGTGGAGATCCAGAGGAAGGGCCAGAGTCAGTCCTGAGGTCAAATCCTGGCCCTATTACTTATTAACTGTGTGACCTTGGCCAGTTCCTTAACCTCGTTGCCTCCATTTCCTCAGCAGTAAAACGAGGGCTTAATATATAGGAACTGCTTCACAGTTACTGTGAGAATGAAAAAAGTTAATGATGTAAAGTCCCTCGCACCGCATCTGGACGTGAAGCTCAATACATGCTGGCTCTTCACTGTTGGCCGGAAATTGGCCTCAATGACAGCGCTGGCTCTGGAACAATACTCAAACCCTCCCCTCTACTGGAACCTCCTGCCCAAGTCGCAGGCAGAGGTGGGGAGGGGAGCTCCTGTGACTTTTCCCTGGTCCCTCAAATATGGATTCAGACCTTCCGTCTCCTGGATGGAATAAACGACCACCCTGACCACTTGTGCCCAGCCAGATTCTCAGGCCTTTTCTCAAGGGGGGCGGAGATGAGAGCGCACTTAGCCCTCCCCACCTACCTCCTCCCGGCTCTAGAAGGGCAGAGTGAGTGCTGACTCCACCACTTACTAGCTAAGGCCATCAGGTCCCATTAACTTATTAGATCCCAGATCCTGTCCAAAGGAGAAAGGAGGCAAGAGAGGTCCCGAGGGGAGGCTGTTGTGAGGAAGTGCAAACTGGGTGGAGTGGAAAGCCTGATGGGTCAGGCGGCCTACACAGAGCACTGGGCATCCGGACACTGAAGGTAAATGTCGCTGGAGACATACGTGGCCTTCGCCTGTGACTGGCTCAGCTGGCTGCAGGGCAGAACGCCGACCTGGAAGCCTAGTCCCCGAGCACCCGGGCCTTCTCCCTTCAGCCCCAGTCCCCTTTGCGCTCTCATTTGGGGATCTCCTGGACTCCTTAGGACACAAGCCAGGCTGCCTTACAGCCTTGCTCTCCTGCTCCAGCCCAGAGGCTCCTGAGATGGGGGTGGGGGTGGATAGGGTGTGCTCCAAACTTCCAGGTCCCTGGAAGAGGGAAGGCTGCCAGATGACTTCGCTGGGCTTGGCGGAGGGCAGGAAAGAAGAGTACTGCTGAGGCCCTCAGCCCTGATTTGGGGCCAGAAGTTCTAGAAGGCAAGGATTCAACACTGCGTGCCTAGCAAAGGGTTGGGCACAGAGCCTCAACCTGTTCATGACCCATGGCCCTGGCACATCCACCTTGTATCCATGGACCAAAGGAGGTGAGCTGAGAGGCTCCTGGAGACCTTGCTACCCAACTCCTTACTGTACAGCTGAGGAAACTGAAAAAGAGAGGTGGGCAGACTGAGAAGAGGTAGACTTGGAGACTTGAAATAAAAGATAAATGAGGGTTTTGACTTCCAAAACCTGGGCCACTGGAACTGGGCAGCAACCTGAAGAACTTTCATGCTTGAAAGAGAAAGGTTTAGGTCTAATTGACAGGTAACCAACTCCATACCCTGAATGGCAAACATGAGATTCTGTTACTGAACTTCAATTTAATGAATAAATAGTACTTCCATTTAAACTTTTACAAGAGTTTATTAAAAATCATCGCATGGTAGAATGTTCTAGCTTAACCCCCTTAATGTGCAGGTAGTGGCATGCTCACAGCTGCTGCATCCCAGACCCCACCCTGGCCAAGCAAAGCTGGGGTTAGAACTAGAGCTGACAGATTTCTAAAGAGAAAGTCTCAAGAAAACCCTGGCCTGGCTGGAGATGGCTGTGGTCTTGGCCCCGTCCCTAAAACTGAGTGCCCTGGTGGCCCCCACACGTCCCGGAGTGCCCCAGTCAGACCCAGAGCCTACGGCAGACCTCCCCCTGCCCCAACCTTCCCCATCCTCAGCCTTGTCACACAGGTAGGCGCCCTGGCATCCTCTGGTCCGACCTCAGGGCAGAAGGAAGAAGACCCTGTGCCAAGGGGTCAGATGACTCTAGGCGGCGTTTGAGTGGGGCTCGTGGGCAGGTGGCGCAGGCAGAGCCTACCCAAGGGGGTAAAAATTGAACTTGGAGCCCTAACTAGTAAGCGGTAAAACTGTCACCAGTTTCCAGATGAGAAACTGAGGTCCGAGAGGCTATTAAGCTCTGTTAAGGCTGTTAAGCTCTGTTAAGCTCTGTTAAGGGTCTGTTAAGCTCTGAAGCCCAGTCGTTTTCCTATGCCACCAGGTCATCCCTGACCAGAGCCTGTTGCTGGGAGATGCGCATCTTGATGGACGGGAGGCGGGCGGGGGCCGCCGATGCTTTAAAACGCCCCAGCCCGGGCGGGGCGGGGCGCTCTCGGAGCAGCGGGGCGCAGGGCTCAGTGGGGAGGAGCGGGGTCCCCAGAAGCACCAGCAGGGCCAGCACGGCTAGGGTGCCTCCACCTGGGCGGGTAAGGAGGGGTGGCTAGACTCCGCCCGGCCAAGGCGCCGGGTCCGTACCGGGTGCAGTGTGGCCGCGTCGCCGTGGAGATGGCGCGGCACGTGCGGTGACGGTGCTCGCGCCCCGAGGGTCCTAGCCTTGCGCCCCGCATTCCAGGGCGAGCATGGAGCGCCCGGAGCCCGAGCTGATCCGGCAGAGCTGGCGGGCGGTGAGCCGCAGCCCGCTGGAACATGGCACCGTCCTGTTCGCCAGGTGAGGGCGGCCCGGGCGCCCCCCGGGGTGCGGGTGGAGGGGTGCCTCCCCAGGAACGGGTTCGAGGAAGCTGAGGCGGCGCCAGAGGAGGAAACACTGGCCCGCTGCCTTGGCGCTGCGGCGCCTCCAGATGTGCGCCAGAGGAACGAGGCACCGCGACGGGCGGCGCAGCCTTACTGCTCTTCCCCCAGCCGGTGGCGCGCCTTCCGAGCCAGCGCCGCACGACCGCTCCCACCGGGCTGTCCGGGCTCCGGCCCGACGGGGTCCGGGACGTCCGAGGGCCCGAGGGGT